GCGTGCGACATTATCTGTCTTGTTTCCAGTGTGAAAACTTCTAATTCCTTCTGTAGCCCTCAAAGTTCAACTCCATTACTAAAAAAAAAGCATGGCAGCTTGAGCCTTGAAAACTAATGAATTCAGAGCTATCCAAAGGAATGGCTGATTCAGCTTTGGCAGTTGTGAACAATGATGACAAAAGATACCCTTGGGCTTTTGTTTACATGAATATTGTTGCTGAAGCAAGGGTCCAAAACATTAACAATGCAGAAAAAAGGGAAAACAATATCTTTCACACAATGGCTCATCAGAATGCTTTCCATTATGTTTGTCAGGGGACCAGAGTCATCACTGTGTTTTAAAAACGCCTTTGAGTTTGACAGTTTTCGTGGAAGGTTGTGGAAGCTACACAGTAAAGATTTGATGTTGAAAGACTGTCAAACACAGTAAAAGCACTAATATGGAGGGTATAGAAACAATAAGTATTTGAGAAACACATATAATTGTCTAAAATGTGATTTTTTAACTATTACTAATTAACTATTGCAGTCATTTACTGTAAAGGTTGGTATGAGTGCACTTTTACACATTTGGAATATCCTGTGGAACAAAAAAGAAGAAACACTTCCTGTATCGTTATAAGTGGCGCCATGGTTAAGGGATTAAAACATATAAACAATATGGTACTAGAACTTCAGGCTGTTACAGATCCTGCAACTATGTTTTTTTGTTCTTCTATGATGTGATGTATTTTCCCCTTAATTAAGTGCCAAGCTTTGTTGCTCCTCTGTATTTGTTTTAGTAAGGCTAACCTTTTAAAGCGTATTTTCCACTTCTGTCAGAACCCAAAAGCATGTTCTGCAAAATAACCTTTATGACCCCACATTGGGCAAGATAAATGGACTGTTAATCAAGTATGAGATAAATTCTTCTGTGAGAAACAATGTGTAATAATTCAGTTTGGTGCGCTTTGGAGCCCAAAGAAGATCTCTGAATGTAGCTGCACTGTCCTAAAACACACCCTCTGTGCTGTCACCCTCATGGACAACGTGCATGTGTTGACAACCAGAGGGTAAATATCCAATAGTGCTACCCATTGAGATGTGCTATGCAGCTCTGGCAGTACAGGGAGCATTATTTGAATCTGCTACCGTTTTGCAGTCTGGTAGCAAGTCAGCACATCTCAACAGAACACTCTCAAAAACGTTAAGAGACGCCAAAGAACCAGGTGGACTGACAAGGTCCAGTATTTACTTTAGTCTGGCTTCCTGCTCAGTCAATCTCTTTTTCTCTTCTTATCTTCATCCTCTGCCGGTTCTTTGCCTCAGCCATTGTATCAAACAGCACAGTAGAGACGGGCTAACTTGCTCCTTTTTATAACTGAAGGCTGGTCTGTGAATAGAAGAGAACGGCAGCTCGCTGCCAAGGTAACACAGTTGGGGCGCCTAGTGGTTAGTTTGTGTGCTCCATGTTACGGAGGCTGTGGTCCTCCAAGCGGGTGGCCTGGGTTGGACTCTGACCTCTTTCTCCTTTTTTTCCTCACTGTCTCTCTCCCTTATTTGACTCTTTCCACTGTCCTGTCCTAAATAAAGGCATAAAAAATACCAAACATAGGCCTTAAAAAAGTAATATAGTGCTGTGTGCTCTGTGGAAATTAAATGAAACTACTTAGGTGGAAAAGGTGACATATTGTTGCTTTAAAAAACTGAAGATGAAGCAGCCCACTTAACTTAAAATAGAGTGCAACATAGAAGAGTCCTCTTAGCCACATTTTTTTACCTTGAAAGTGTCTCCATAGTAAAGTAAAAAGCTGATGAGCAAGGCTATAACTTAAGTTAACAGAGAGATGGATGTACCGATTGGCTCTTCATTAATTGTGTATCCCCCATAACATTTAAAATGAAGAGGATTCAGTAATAAAAGAATGCCGTTGCCTGTGCATTAACAATGAATGACGCAATGAGTCACACAGGCATAAAAAAGACAAAGTGAGACGGAGGATGATAGAGACAGAGTAACAAAAGCATTTAAGACAGACTGATCTATTAAAATGTCAGCAATTAGTCCAAAAAATGGCACCATATTTCATCATGACATAACTCTATGACACACTCCTGTTCACAAAAACACACACACAAGATTTTTTTAGGCAAAGACCTTAATCAAACAACAGTGATCTTCATCCCCTTTGTTCTAGTGGTCCCAGACCTGAGGTAAAAGATTAGAGCAAAGGTCTGGAGCGATGCCAACGTGCTGCAAGGCATATAATTAGCCTCGAGGGTCTTTTTTGGACCTGAAACCCTCCATTCTCTTCCTTCATGACTAATTCACAAGACCTTGATTCTCCTTTGGCATTGGAGGGTGAGCCTGCAAGCCATTCAAATACTCGCACAAGTTAAGTTCATGCCTTTTTTGTTCACACTGCTTCTTGATAAAGGAACATTTTTTTTTACACATTTATTGAATGTTAATGCTTACTTTTTATTTTAGTTTTATCACTGTTGCCTCCAGATTATACGCTTAGATGATTTACTTGAAACAAAGCTTTTGAACTTGAACCATGTGCAGGTCAGGTAAGGTGTCAGTCTCAAAGGAGCTATCTGACTGTCAAGGACAAACTCAGCAAATCATGGAGAAGAAAAGCAAAAAAAAAAAAAAAAAGGAGGTACAGTATTTTTTCTTTGGCAGTGATAAAGGGTTTTCTCTGTGTGCCAGAAAATATTTATGTTATGTTACTTCCAAACCCATCAAAGTCAAGAGGGGAGAAGTTCCTCTGATATGGCACATGCAGGAGTTTGGGCTGATATTGAGTTATGAAAGATGGAAGGTTTGAGTTGTAGATTTATTCTGCTGTCAGCCCCCGAGAAAGCAGGCTGTGTGTATGTGTGTGTGTGTGTGTGTGTGTGTGTGTGTGTGTGTGTGTGTGTGTGTGTGTGTGTGTGTGTGTGTGTGTGTGTGTGTGTGTGTGTGTGTGCACTGGTGGATGTGGGTAGGATTTTGTGTATGTATATTTTGTTTATGTCTATGCATCTGTGTGCGTGTGCGAGCAGATAGGTGTGTGGGGTCGTAGCTGTCTTCCAAGTCAATAGACACACTCTGTCACCGCTGGCAAGTAAATTGACAGCTAGGAGTTTGCAGTGACACAGGCCTTGCATATATTTCCTCCATTACCTGTGTGTGTGTGTGTGTGTGTGTGTGTGTGTGTGTGTGTGTGTGTGTGTGTGTGTGTGTGTGTGTGTGTGTGTGTGTGTGTGTGTGTCAGCCCGGAGTTCTCTCTGGCAGTGTGCTCAGGAGTCAGCTAGCTCGACAGGGGATTAAACAAACACCTTCTATTCAGGCTTATGGTGACGAATGATAAACTCTCTCACCCTCAATCAGCCCAATAGGTAATAAAAGGCTTTCCCTCTCTGGTAGCTTATTTGCACTTTCTGCTGCTGTGTGTTGCACCCAGTCTAAAGAGTCAAGCCTTCCTGAATAATACGTCTTTGTTTTAAATACTCTGAGCAGTCATTGTACGAAAAAAATAAAATGGAATTGGGAAAAGCACAGCGTCAAGAGGTATGAACAAAAACACTAAATATTTGTATAGGCTTTGTGTCGCAGTTGCTCACTACCACACACACAGCTTCTTTTTCCTCAATGAAAAAAACTCTCAAGGATGAATGCTAGGAAGGCTGTAAAACTTAAAACCTTAAATATTGTATTGGCGGTATTGTTGAAACCTAAATGGTCCTCAGTTGAATGTTGTCTGAAGGATGCATTGATAAAATCCGCGACCTTGCTTACTGTACAATGTAAGGATAAGCATCTTGAATTGCTCCTTGACACCCCAAGTTTAAGACGTATTCTTTTAAAGAAGGGCAAAAATGAATCCAAACACAAGAGGAGATAGAAGGACGGTGTCTGAATCGAGGAAAAGCACAGTCGCAACAAAACATTTTGAGCTCTCAGAAGAAATATCCATAATTATTTACTCAAATCCATTTGCAGGGGTCTTGGCAGCCGAAGAAACGTTATGCCGCCATTTGTCTTCCCCTCTCTCCTTTTTACTCCCTCCCCCCTACAAAATCGTTAGCTTCACTTTTCATTAGACTGGATCAATAAGGCGGATCAGTCACTCGTGGTGGGGATACTGCTTGGCAGACACCCCTCCTCTTTCAACTACTTTTTTGTTACTCCCACTCCTCACTCCTCCTCCCTTGTTCTAATTCTCCAGTGAAGTAGCTCGCAAGAGAAAGTATGGAGTTGTGAGGCCTCGAAGGGCCTGAGAAAATGACGTGAGCCAGCGATTGCACCATAGTGCAGCAGAAAATGGCAACGCTGAATGATAACCCAATGCAGTTTAATTAAGAAGCAGTAACCTCTCAAGCTTATAGTGCTAATGAAAATGGAGGCTACATGCAGAGGAAGGAAATTAATGTGGAAATGTAAGGGTCTGTGTAGGGTTTAGTCAAATTAACACTGTATGCCAAATGGGAAAAATCTGCATTGACATAACTGCTTCCATAGAAGACACATCCTGTGTTCTCAGGAACACATATTTTCTGTGGAACTCCATAGAGTGTACTCTCATTATCACGGAGCACCACTTTTGTAAGTGCCCATTGAGCTGTGGTAGTGCTTCTGCTCAGGTTTTAGCATCAAGAGTGTTGGGATCATCTGTTTGGAGTATTTGGGATGATGCCTGTAAACCTGGACGTGAATCTCAGTATTCTACCAAACAAACAAACAAACAAACAAAAAAAAAACCTGAAAATGCTGCAGCTACTCTAATGAAAGATTAGATGTTTCTACACACACAGCCAAGAGAACAATGACGAGAAGTTAGATGATGCTGATGTGATTTTATCACTAGAATGGGAAACTGACGATAGTGTGAAAAGCCAGTGATGCCAATAAATCTGCTTTGCACCTCAGTGACTGGAGGTAGTTGGCTGGTACATTGGTGTTGTTTGGAGTGTGTGTGTGTGTGTGTGTGTGTGTGTGTGTGTGTGTGTGTGTGTTGAATTCGGACTCACCCAGCACAGTGAGGCGGGCAGGACCGGACCTCATAGCGGCCTGGACGGCCTGGCACTCGAACACAGCATCATCCATCAGCTCGACACGCTGAATTCGCAAATGATGCTCTCCTGAACCGTGGTCGCCAATCACTGTGTAACGAGGATAGCCTGCAGCACAAACACACATTTCTGCTTTTTAATCACTTTCAAAACACTGCTTACATGGACAAGGAGATATATTTGTCATTTTGAATATTATACATACAGAAAACAACACCACAAAAGATGAAAACAAGATTAATATTCAATGTGATGTCATCTGCAAACACATTTCATCAATGGCTTCAAGTATCTTAATTAATTGAGATGCATTAACAAATAATAATAATAAAAAAAGAATGCATTTTCATTCAATGTCATAATATTCATTTTGTTGCACATGTTTTTATAGCACTCCTGGCACAGTTAATAAGCTGCTTCTGAAGTTGCTGCATCCTAGAGAAATATGTTTTACTGCAACCACAAACAATAAAACAGCTACATTTTGAGTTGTTTCAGCATTGCTGTGTGAAATGATTTATAGTTTAATAATGCAAGAAAGCAGAGTAATATCAAGAGACCTGGGCATTTTGTACAAGTCAAGCGAGATTTTTACAGATATCCCCTCAGCCATGATCGAAATATGCATTGAGAGTGCATTGCTGCGGAGTGCATCCCTCCACTGGGGCGAATAAGCCGAAAGAAGAATGGGTAGTTTTATGGGGTATTTCTCATGCCTTCCCAATTGCTCATCTCTGAAGATCCCTTTTGCTTTTTCCTCTCGCTCCATCTTTCTAATTATTGGGGATACAGTATTTGGACTCAAATGAGAATGCCTCTTTATAAAAATAAATGCAATCCAAAAAGTGTGTTTAGAGTTTTGCACAAAGAATTGTTTTTCGCTGCAAAGTAGTAAGTAATTGATCAGCGATGAAACAAGTGGGTAGGATTGGAGAACTCTAGCAGCAGAAAAGAGCCAGCTTTTTTTTAATAAAGCCTTGCGCTCAGCTTTGTGCTCTGTAAAAGAAAACTTCACACTTCACACTCACTAACTTATCATTTCCTCTCCAAGAAGCCCATCCGTACAGTGCCATCCATCTGTTGGGTCACAGCCAACAAATGTTGAGGAGTAAAATATTGATTTCTCAGTAAGAGGAAGCCAATGACTCATGTTCACTTCAGAGCTCCCCAAACACGTCCGCCTTTCACTTTAAAGCTTTTACAGACTGTTTTTTTTTTTTTTTTTTTTATGTTTTAGCACCCAAAAGGAGCATGAAAAGACTGGGCATCCTTTTAACAGCTTTCACATTCTTGCATTTGTGCGGTGCAAAGAACCCATCATAAGTCCAATTACTGACTGTTGCTTCATTGAATCCAGTTGCCTTTAATAGAGCATGAAGTGGGCCTCATTTTAGGCTGGTGGGGTGAGTTAGAACAGATTAAGCCATCCTCCTACTTGTAGCCTTTAATCTTAAGGGTCTACAGTGGGAGGACATGTTGGACAAAAGAACGCCTAAACATAAATATTACAGCTTGGGAAAGGATTAACAGAGGAACGTTAAAAAAAAGCAGAAAGCTGGCTAACAAAATAAGCAGAAAATGGAAGTTGCACCAGCAGATATTTGTGGGTGAACTAGCCACACAGCTAATGAATGTCCCCTTTCAGTGATATGCATATAACTTACTGCAGTGTAGTAAATGTGAATGCAAAAGGTTTTAAATGTATCAGGGTGAAGGGAGACCTGTAGATTTAAAAGCTTCCATTAATGACATTGATAACCATTGATTAAAAAAAATGAGCTTTTTGTCTTTTCATGCTAAGTGTGATTCCTCGTATAAAAGGACACACAATTATGTGGACAAGGTCACCCAGAGAGCCACTTTGCTTCAATTTTATGTTCATTGATGAGATTCAAAGCAATAATGCCATTGCGGATCACGAGGGTAATGATCATTGCACATTCTGAAAGATGTGACCTTGGGTTGACTCCAGCAGTCCACCTAGAGTACTTCTTATTGTGCCCTGTACCTCTGAGACAGGACACACTTTCCTCGCAGCTTTTGTTTTGCTTGTCTTAATCGTAGCAAGGTATGCTATGTAAATTCTCTGCTACACAAACAGACCATCTTGCCAATTACCTCATCTGTTGCCTCTGGCGAACTAAGAATAATTTGACTGTGTGAGGATGTGGCTCTCTTCCAGTTTCATCGGTGTGCATTAGCGCCATCCAAGAGTCATTTGCATTTGTGGTGGACAGTAGCTGACAAGAATTTTCTAATCTAATATTGGGAACAACGGAGGCAAGCTGTAATGTGTTTTTGTCAGCTCATAAGCACCCGGATCATGTGTTTTGTCAATATGGCTGCGATAATAATGGCTCACATGAAGACTGATCACCTCTGCACATGTGATGTGTACCTATAAAGGACCATTGATCTTAGGGGTCTCAGCAGGTTTCAAAGACACAATGTGTTAGCCAAAGCAAACAATGTAAAATAGAGCCATTAAGGAGTAATGAATCCATCAGGGGGGAAAATGGATTTGTCTTGAGGCTGGATCAATGGTGAAGGTGCATGTGTGGCTTCATATAAGTACACAGACACTTGAGGCGTGGCCTTGTAATTTATAGCACACGCCTAACACATGTTTCACACTGTTCGGAGGCACGTTAGCTGCAGCTGTGAACAGGTGACCGGTGTTCAAAGTTGCTCTCATGAGAGGCAAGTGCCAGACGCTCGGCTCGCTGCTGTTGTCCACTCTCGCATATCTTGCTAAGGACCCATTCGCCTACACCCCTAAGTGCTGCGGCTTAATGTATACAAACACTTCTCTCCCCGTCTTTACTGTGTGCACACCAGAAGAACTCACTTATAACCGCTTTGTCTCTTGTAATTATCATCACGCGCAGCAGATACATTCTCCTGTCATGCATATTCATGACATTGATTGGTATGTTCCGAGCGCTTGTGGGGCTACTTTACTTTTCTTTAATTGGAGTGGAAAAGCATGACACAAAAGGGGAATGAATAAGGAAATCCAGAGACAGATAGGAATCATTGGCTTTTGTGCTGTGATTTCTCTGCGCTGAATGGTGAAAGAGTTCTCTCGGTTTAATCACTGCTCCCGTGAATGGGAAACAGGTCCCAGGCGGTGCCCAACGTTGCCGACACAGCTTCTTTCTATGAATAGCCGAGCAGACCTATATTATTGAAATGCTCCATGCAACATTCGATTCGTCACACTTTTTATGTATACAGCTGCCACTTTCCTTTCATTGTGTACATCTTGCAGTGCACTCTTTTTACTGCTGCATGTATTGCTTGTTTATGTAGGCACGGGGTGATAAAAAGGACAGCTGCGCGGCGCTTTTATTTTGAAAAAAAAAAAGTGTCATCAGTCTCAATGGAAGGCACTCAGCCCCCTTGTCTGTGTCATACTGTTGATTCTACCTATCTTTTCCAAGCATGCAGCTTCTCCTGCCCACACGGTCAAGAGGAGAAAAAGCACTCCAACTCTACATTTGGGTTTTGTCCACTCAGCAAATTTAGAAGAACAGAATGGCCCCCCCCGGGGGGAAGGTCGAGGTCAGGATTAGTGCATTTTGTCCATGACTGTTGAAGTATTCACAAATGTGTTATTAAAGGTCATTCTACTGCGGATCCCTTGAGTGTTGTGACCCAATGTTCTCTCTGTTTTCTCTGTTCCATGTCTTCCTCTTTCTTTGGCTTTTTTGAAATGAGATCATATGTTGATTGTCTTGTCTTCTTAAATCAATACAAATGCAAGAGGATACAACAAAGTGGACATCTCCGCTCTTTTTAACCCTAAATTCAACCATGCTCTTCTTTTCCTTGTCTGCCCCATCTTCCTCCAAAAGAGACTCAGAGGCTGCAGGAGCATTGTTTACTGCATCCTCCTCATCCTCCCCTGGGCCTGATAAGAACCTGAGCAGGGAAGAGCACAGCTTTACTAGGGGCTCTATCAGCCGCTGAGGTTTAATTACAGACCACATTGGCGACACGGAGGGGCCTCTCAGTATCTTTGTTAAAGGTCAGGGGGAGGAAGACCCTCAGTCTTAAGTGAAATACATATTTAATCATTTGTTTTTTTCAAAGGAGACCTTTGTGTGTTAAAAATGGCTGCTGTTGAATATTTTGTCAATGCTTCTTGAATTGACATTTTTGGATATTCTTAGTGGTCACACAGAAGTTGGTGTGTGAGGCAAGGTTAAAAGCTTAAAAAATAAAGGCTTTACCATTATAGTAATGTATCCTGCTTTGTATTGAGTGCTGTGTAGATTCAAATGCATCTCTGCTTTGGAAGAATTTAATGATCATTTCAGTAAATGATGCAGGCGTACTACTTTTATAGTGGCTTTTTATGGATTTTCTCATTCAGTAGCTCAGTGCTTCAAAAGGTTGTAAATGTTTATTTAGAGGAGTGATGTGTTTCCTTGAAATTCATCAAGGTCATGAATATACATAAAGCCTTGATTGGTTGAACAATGGGCTACTAAATGGCATTGCAGTAGCCACTTTTTCTCCAAATTAAACAATTAAGGCAATTATACATGAGGTGCAGTGTAATTAGAGGATGCCAGCTACTCTTCAAAAAGCCATTTTGCAGCCTGCAGCACCAGAGAAAGACTAGTGCAACTATTGATTTCACATTTCATTTGGATTTTTTGTGCTTCCCTGCCAAACAGATAGTAAAAAAAAAAAAATGCATCTAACACGGAGACATAAATGAATTTTTGATTCTGTAGAATGTTGTGCTTATTGATATTTCATGTACCACTTGTAATGTAACACTTCTCTTGTGACACACTATCATGAGACATTTTGCAGAGAGGGCAGGATGTGAGCATGGAGAGACGCTTTAGATGATTTAAAACAAAACAAAAAGCTGCCATTCGACTATAAAAGTTTATTAAATAGGAGCTTCAGAGGATGATGAAGAAATGCAGGATGACAAGCTCAAGGGGATAAAAAGCTGTTACTTACCAGCGAGGTCTCTGCCCACTCCCAGCGCCAGGCCATCCTTGATCCACAGTACAACGCCATGGTAACCGGGAATTGTGCATGGTAACGTCACAGGCTGGCCTGCAACAACCACCAGGTCCTGTGGCTGCTGGGAAAACATGGCCTCAGCTCCTGCAGAACAACGAAAGAAGAAAAGGAAATTTAAGTATAACCTATTTCAATTTTTACATTTATTGAACTACAATCAGAAATGATGGAATACAACATTCTGCTTGAAAGAAGTGACAGGATGTGATTTGACAAACACCTGGCTCTCAATGTTTCAAGTGCTGAATGAAGGGAAAACACACCATATGCCCATTTCCACCAATTTCACTCAAAACCCCCTGTCAAACTCACGTTGAAAGAACCCTAAAGGGTAATATACAAAGTGTGGCACATTTCTTTTACTATTCATGATACAGAGACAAGATACTGTACACGCACCAGAGGTGTCAACGCAGCACTAGGACTGAAGCGCGGGGCTAAGAGACAGCCGTCACAGTTCGGCTCGGTTCATTTATGAAGGATGTCACTGTACAGATGGGCTGGGCTCGAACACACCACAGCACATAACACGATCTCGTCTGCCAACACTACTCATAGTGGCATACATTAACTCCACCTCACACCCATGTATTCCAACTGTGCAACCGCTATTAGCTGCACTCCTCTCCCCGCATGTTCAGGCGGAAAGTGGTGTGCAGTGAACTCCATTAGAGGCAGAGGGTGTGTTAATGGGGAGGGGCACGGTGGCAGTGGGGGGGGGGTTAGTGTTGTGGAGCAGAGTGGAAGGTAGAGAGTGGTACTGATGTGTAGTTAGAAACTCTGGCAGGCTGCCTATCACCTAAATCCTGCACAAATGCACACAACACACACACACTCACACACACACCTTTTCACAGTGACATGCATTCATACAGACAGTGGAGCATGAATTGCTGCAAAGGTTTAGAAGTGTCACCTCCTCTCTGACACTTTACTGAGACAGTTTTGTTCACAGCTGGTTCTTATTTTCAAACTTTAGACATCCCCACGCTTGAATTAGAACACCTTCCATTCTCATTTACAACACAATATATATTTTTTTTCTGCAGGAGCCACAAAAAAAAAGTCTCATTGCATTTACTCTGTTGCTTTAATGGGCTCATGTATGCGCTTTTTTTTTCCATTTAATTATATGCAAATAAAAACCTGACAGCTTAATCACAAGTAGATAACTACAGTAATAAGCAGAGCAAGGACGGCACTGAGAAAGCCTGTTTTTTTTTTCATCTTACAACATCTTTTATACAAATTTGCAGTCATCTACTGTGGTTCTTTGTATGCTTGGTTTTAAAATTCAAAGGAAATTAGTTATCCCATGGCAACAGAGGGAAATTGATTAGCTTTGTTTAACAATTTCCAGCCACATGAGAGAAAAAAGATTGTTGTCATACAAGCAAGTGATTTTAATTGAGTCAGAAAATGGCATTCCAATCCCCACCAGTCATTTTTCAGCCTTGAACTGAATTCCACATGATGGATCGCTTGGTAAAAATGTAAGAATTTATGTTTTCTACTATTGATTCATGCACTCTTTCTCTCCTGTTTCAACTGTCGACATGCATCTAATAAAAAAAAAACAGTCACACAGTATATGGATGTGTATTGTAGTTGATTCTCGCTAGGTGAGTCTTTATCTCACCAAAATGTATTGCCCTTCAAAACCTAGACAGCTTTGTTCAGCCCTCAGTGTGCTCCCACATGAGGAGCTTATCTCAGCTTTCCTCAGAAGCGTGCTAACATATAGACAGCTTCTCAACAAGACCTCTTGGCATGTTCCTGGAAAATAACATTGTTAACGCCATGGAATCTTGCATCTGCACACACATGACTGATATTATCAATCCGTTCAGCTTGTGCTAGGATTGATTTAACTTTGAAGAGGATCTTAGTGTGGACAGCAAAACAGGCACCTGTGAACTTTCTTCAACTCGCCTGCTTGTCCTCTTTGCCAGGACTTGGCCTCATGCCCCCTTTGTCATCAAGAAAAAAGAACGAGTTGGAGTTGACAATGCAATGTGCAATGTCAGCTTGAGACCAGCAGCCAATGCGTTTAAATTTTAAAAAGGTTCATAGCTGTTTTAGTGCATGTTTTGATGATTCAACTCTTGGTTTTAATGACCTTTCAAGTGGACTGATAGATGGCCTCCTGAAGAATATCAATAAATTCTACTCAACAGTTTGACTTGTCTCACCCAAAAATACACAAATTTGGGCCATTACCTGTAGCTATAATTGACCCTGAGCTGCATGCCTTAAAGGGCCACTGCATATTTTTTGCATCTCAAGATCAGGCACAAGGAGTACTTCTTTTTTTATTTAAAGATGTATTTTTCTGTCTTTTTATGACTTTATTCTAGTGATTGGGGAACTAAATCCAGTAAAAGTAAAAGATTGGAATCAAACAGCCCCGCTTTAGAGGACTAAGCCTCCCTACATGACACAAGTGTACTTCTTGAAGAAAGAAGATGTCATTCTAAACTGGAGTCATCTTTGTGGTAATGCAAAAACGACTACAATGGCCCGTTAACAGAAGTCCAAAGCAAAGACAAATGGCTCACTACAGTTAGCTAAATGCTACATAGCAGACTTGGATTGCATTTCTGATGATTGTCGGAAGCCTTGCTCCTACCTCTGGATCATATTAAGCCTCTATGCAGTAAAAGGGACGTTAAAAAAAAAATCACTGGTGATAGACAGAATCAAAGTCATTACTGCCACCAGCTTTTACTTGTCTCTTCAGCAGTTAAAAAGTGACCTCCCTCATTCAATTTGAAGCCTGGCTGAGTCTTGCAACAAACATGTCTTCATGGGGAGGGGAGCAAGTGCAGAAATAAGGGCGATGTGTTTGAGATGACTGGGGCTCACATCAAGGTGGCTACATTCATTCATCCATCCCCTCTGCACCCAATAAATCTCTGTCACATCTGCCAAATTTATCCTTCACTGGGCATCACAGTGTTTGGCAGAGCGCTTGCCCCTCCCTAATCCACCTCTTTCTTTATTCTGTGCCAGGCCTGACACGCAACAGAGTGATGACAACCCCTTGTCCCCTCACTTATTCATGACAAATATGTTTTTATAAATAACATGGCCAATTAAGAATTGAGCACCTCAGTAAAGACTTTATCACTGACAGTAATGTGAGGGCAGGACAGTGATTGAGTTCAGGTGACCGGAGAGATGAAGATCCATGTTAATAATACTTTGTTAAGCTTCCACTGGGGTTCAGTGGTGTGCTTGGTGAAACAAAAAAAAAAGAAAGAAAAATAAATGAAAAACTGTCTAGACATTCCAATTTGCCTTGAGACAAACAGACCTTAACTTTTGGGGTTAGTTTTCTGTAAATGTGTGGGCACACGGAGCAGAAACCTTTTGTCTGTCGCTAGAGACAACAGACAGCCTCGTGGGTTTTCTCTCTCAGCAACAGCCAAACCTCTTCTATGAATAGAACTTAAAAAAAAAAAATGTAACCACTTAGTTTTTTCTTCATATATTGTCTGGGAAGAGACAGTTACAGAGAAATATTTTACCTCAGCACTTTAGATTTGCTAAATAAAGCATTGTGCGCTCCTTTCATAAGAGCTTATTCACCCATTTTTGAACAGTTGCCTCTCCTTAAAGCCATATTTGACAATATGATGTTAAGATTTACGATAAGATTCTGCATGTTGGATGGGGAAAAAGGAGGGTAATTTATTTTTCCATGTTGGCATTAATTCAGCATATGGAAAAGATGGAATTTGAATAATGACCAAAGAAGGGAACTGCAGGGTATATCTTTGAGACCGGATTCCTTACACCACATATCACAGAGAGCACATCTGTCAGCAGGAGGTTGTAATGCACATTTCCTTAATAGACACTCCTGGCTGTACAGACTTTGCATGGAAATCTTTCAACAAAGCTTGGGTTATTGAAAGGGGGGGGGGGGATTTGTACCTTTATATATCTATATTCCATATGTTTTATTTATTGGAAATGCTGAATCCACTTGCAAACCCCTTACACTCACTGGATATGTTTATGTGCGTCAAATCATAAAATGATTCATTTTGATTGAATCTGCTGCAGTTAAGAGAGATGAGGCCAGGGATATTTGGTACGATCTGCCCAGTTGTTTTAAAACGGGGGAAGGAAAGAAAAAAAAAAAGGCAGGTCGTTAAAAACTGAGCACAGAGCCATATTCATAATGTGGACTGGCACTCTGCATCCCCTAATGTTGTCATTTCACTTCAAATAATTTGTTTACCATTGGACGGCTGCTGCATTTCCACACACTCCAGCACTATTTCCCCCCTCAGTGCTAACTGCCCCCAATTTCATCGCTCTTTGCCAATCAGGCCTGGAAATTACCGTTGCGGACACACATCCAGCCCACTTCAGAGGAATAATCAGCATGCTGTCTGTGCGGCATGTGGCCACACAGCAACCAAAGCTTAGCCTGGGATCATTATCAGAAACTATTACCCCTCTGGCCTGGGCATTTTATACTGGCAATTTAGAGGCACAGGAGGGGCTTGAGAATAATGAGGAGTGGGTGAGTTAGTTATATGTTGGTTAGTTTGGTAAACACACCGTTTCTTTTTCTGTGGCTTTGCTGCTGGTAGTTTTCAGTGGTGTCTAAGTAAATGGAGGCAAGAGAGAAACACAAGTGTGTGTGTTTGTGTGTTGGGGAGGGGATGTGTGTGTGTGTGGGGGGGGTATTTTTATCTTCTACTTATCCACTGCTGGTGTTGCCATAGGTGACAGCTTCTAGGCTGAGGTGTAAAGAGACTTTAATGAAATTATTCTTACAGAGTCTAAGGCAATAAATAAATGGACAGAAGTTAGATTACAAATATAATTCAACCACTCTGCTGGGGAGTTCACTAGTCCATTTGTTAGGCCACAAAGAGAGAATGCATCCCACAGGATCCAGAAAAAAAAAATCCAATCACATGTCAAGACTTGCTCATTTCTCGCCTTTCCAACACTATAAAGTCATACTCAACATTTGTCGAACTGCTCCAGTTTTGTTGTTAATTCTGGTCTGCCCCCCCCCCATCTTTTACCCACACCTCCTACTCCTCAGAGGCATGACGCAC